CACTGTGCCAAACAAGAAGTCGAAGCGGGAGCTTTGAAAGAGTGCAAAAGAGAAATGCAGAAATATAGATAAGCCGGGGAAGAAGCAGAGCTGAGCTATGCTTGGAATAGAATTTAGACAAATTATTAATTTACCACAGCACTCCAAATATACCACAGCACTCGCGAAGCGATACGGTTTAGGCTTTAATATTGTTAAGATTCACAAGATTTAATTCACAAGTATGTAAACACCGGTTTACCAATATTTATAACAAAACGCAGTGCGCACAAAAAAACACGACCGTTCGCTTAAGAGAAAGAGAGGGAAGTGAAGTAGTTTAACACCCTAAGTGTAGTAGTTTGAGGGAAGTTTAATTCCCTCAAAATCTTGATTTATTTAGAAAAAAACGGTTTTTCGGGGCTTTTTTGTGCTTAAAAATTCCTTAACGCGTAATTTTAAGCGGATTTTAATCCTGAATATTCAATTCAATTCAATTCAATAATTTTGCTTTATTTTCCAATATCATTTTCAATTTTGTTTAAAGCTAACAAATTTTTACTTAGAGTTTAGAACTATTAACTATCTTTACAACTATAATATTCTATATTTTGTTTATTTAATATTTATTTGTTCATTTTTATTTACATTTAATAACCCAAGAAAATGGTAAAACTTGGCTCAATGGGCTTAAAGAATAAAGATAAAACTAAGACAGTTGCTTCGTGGTTACTAGCGTAATACTAGTAAGGGAAGGACCTGTCAGCACGCGGATGTGCGATATAGGATTTGCGAATGTTGAATTTGTTTGTTGAATGAGAGATGAATGCATCGATCATTTTAATATCTGCTTTTAAGTGTAGACGGTTGGTCGCATAGAAAAAGGTAAATTATAGATCATTTTTAAGATTTTATTTTGAGCAAGTTGTAATTTATTTATATGGGTCTTGGCACTACAGCCCCAGATTTCAGATCCATAAAGCATTATGGGTAAAAATATTTGTTTGTATATTGTCAGCTTATTGTGAATTGACAGATTTGATCTGCGGTTTATAAAAGGGTACAATATTCGGATGGTCCTATTTATTTTGTCAATGGTATGACTTATGTGGCCATTGAAAATAAGTTTTTTGTCAAAATTAATGCCAAGATACTTTATGGAGTTTTCCCATTTAATGTCAGTGTTATTTAGTTTAAGTTCACTATTTGGCAGAAAACACAGTTTCCGTTTTTTGGTGAAGAAAATGGATTTTGTTTTTGAGGCATTTATTTTAATTTTTCATTTATAAAAATAAGAAGATATTGCATCTAAGGACATTTGGAGCTCATTTTCTATCGAATTATAAGTAGTGCCAGAGCTAAACAGGGCTGTGTCGTCGGCAAATATAAGTGTATGACATCTTTGAAATAGGGGGATGTCATAGGTGTAAATGTTATAAAGAACTGTTCCGAGCACAGAGCCCTGTGGGACACCTGCTTTGATTAGTTTTTTATTCGAATTAGTACCATCAAGACTGACGTAAAAGTACCTATCTGAGAGAAAACTTTGGATGATCTTTGTTAAATATATTGGGCTGTTACAAGTGATAAGCTTATGGATTAGACCATTGTGCCAAACAGTATCAAAAGCAGCTTCTATGTCAAGCGTTACCATGCCAACTGACTCTTTTCGTGCAAAACTTTCCTTTATATAGTTAGTGATTTGATCAAGTGGGTGAATACAGTTCAGAAAAGCACGAAAGCCATATTGGACTGGGGGTAAAATGTTATTTTCTTCCACATGCAGATTGAGCCTAGATTTAATTAATCTTTCAAAAATTTTTGAAAAACCATAGCAAACTTATCGGACGGTAATTGTTTGGACAATCCGGGGGCTTCCCTGGCTTAGGAATTGGAATAATTCTAGCAATTTTCCAATTTTTGGGGATATAACCAATTTGAAGACATTTATTCATGATTAGAGCAAGAAAGTCTATCGCGTTTTTTGGTAAGTTTTTTAGACAAATGTTTGGAATTTCATCAATGCCAGGTGATTTGTTATTTTTTAGTGACTTTATTATGACGACAATATCCTTAGAAGTGATTTCAGGTGTGAATGTTAGGTCATTCAAATTGTTAAATTCGCTTAAAGTGTTTTGGACTTCAGTTGAGGTATTATAGTCAGAGAAACTGTCAGTAATGTGATGTTTTGATTCAAAAACTTCTGCTAAGATATCTGCTTTTTCTGCTCTTGTAGTAAACACTATATTATTGTGAAGGAAACTTGGGATAAACTGTTTTTTGTTCTTAATAATTTTAGTAAGCTTCCAAAATGGTCTGGAATTCTTGTCCAATTTAGACAGTTTAAGATTCCATTTTTCATTGTTAAGCTCAAATAGTTTCTGGCTAATCATGTGGTTCAAATAGTTTACCCTAGCCTTAAAGATGGGTTGTCTGGTTCTAATCCATTTTCTTTGATTTGTGTTTCTATCACTGATTATATTTTTTATCCATCGTGGAATTTTCAGAACTATGGGCCTAATAGGCGCTTCCGGTACACACTGCTTTATTGCATTATGTATGTCAGCTTGAAGAATATTGACCATTAAATCTATTACTTCTTGCTCCGCTTCAAAATCCGAAAGAGCTTCGAGATTGGCTAAGGTAGCAACATTGAGGATATGCTTAAATTTTTTCCAGTTTGCTTTGGAGTATTGCAAGTGTGTAACATTTTTGCAATGAACTCCTTTAGTAAACTTACAAAGTACTGGTAAATGGTCCGATGAGAGATCAGTATGTACAATTGGCTCGGAGAAATTTATCGGTGAATTTGTAAGGAAAATGTCAAGAGTTGAAGGCTTGCTACTAAAGTTAGCTGGTATATAGGTTGGATCTTTGGAGTATAAAAGCGAGAATTTTCCTGTTGACAAAAGCTCATGAAGGCAATTTCCAAACGAGTTAGCTCTGGCACAATTCCATAAACGATTTCTGCAGTTCAAGTCACCACCCAATATGTAATGGCCATCAATTTGTGAAAATTTTACTAGGTCGGCCCTGAACATAGTTTTTATGTGATTATTTGTTATAGGAAAGTTGCATGGATTGTTTAAGCATTTAGCTGAAGCACCAGGAAAATAGGCTGAATATATTTTGAGAGAATTGTTGGAGTCAATGTTTATCTTTATAGCAATGTTTTCTATAAGATGGGTCTTTATACTATTGATTTGTTCATGCTGAATACTGTTCTCTACTATAATCGCAACACCTCCACCTTTTGTGGTACCACGATCATTTCGGTAAACTTTATAATTTGGTATAGACAGTTTAATTTTATCCGTTAGCCATGTTTCGCTAACAAGACAAACATGGATTTGGTTTTTAGTGAGGAAGTTAACTAACTCAAGACGTTTACTACTGACGGCACGAGCGTTCCATGCCATGATATTAATATGAGTGAGTGATTTACTTATTGGAGTACACATATTTGATAGCAAGTTGAGTTATTATATTGAACTGCTCGCTTTTTGAGGTACAGGCACTCAGTTTATTTATGAGCTCAGTCGTAATAGCTGTGATTTCGTCGATGGTAAAAAGGTCGGGAGAACTCGGTGGATTTGAGTCGTTGTTTACGACTGCATCTCTGTAGCTCTGGTATGAAACTTGAGGAAGATTGGGCGGCCGAATCGGAGTTGAGTGCTGTCTTGGTACGGCTGATACGAGCATATTTCGGTTTGCTCCACGAACTGTTTGGTTCTCGTACCTCGGTTTGATGAAACGATTACCGCTGGACGATCGTCGTTGGAGGAGCGATTGATAAGAAAGTCGGCAAGGGCACTGAGGGTCGGAGGAGGGGTGATTCCCTTTGCAGTTTGCGCATTTTAGTTTGGTGCTGTCAGGACACTCAATGGTCTTGTGTGGGCCGGCACAGTGGGCGCAAGAGGTCTTTACAGCGCAATGCATGGATCCATGTCCATAAAGCTGGCAATTGTAGCATTGTGTCAGTTTGCTGCTTGGTTTTGATTTGTACTCCCATTGTACTTTGGTATGGTTTATATATATGTAGTCTTTGCGTAGCTGGTGCAGAGTGATGCTTTTATTAGCGAAATAGACTACATAGAGCAATAGCTTATTGTCATTTTTTGTTGTTTTTTCAATTGTTTTAACCTCAATGCATTTCAGGCCCATGTTATTAAGCAAAGTTTTGACGTCAGCATTGGGTAGTTTGTCAAGACCAGAAAGTACCGCCTTGTAAGGTTTGGTCTTTTTGCAGTCGTACGAATAGAATTCGCATTTGAGATCACGCAGTTGAGTGCAAATTTTATTGTAGTTTTCTTCACCTGTGGTGAAAATTTTGATACCAATAGATATGGTTTTGATATAGTAGTCACTTATTTTAATGCGGATGAGAACATCATGTAGGAACTTGGCAGTCTGTTTAAGGACAGTAATAGGTGGCATTTTAGTAGCCTCTTTTGGGACGACTTCAGGTTCCTCTACGACGTCATCAATGTTGTTGTTGTCCTCAATAGTTTGAAGCGGACGATAGTAATTTGTGAACTCGTCACGAAGAGCTTTGTTCACAGTAATATTTTTCCTTTGACGTGGCATTTTGTTAATAGCGGCTGATGCTACAGCATCGCCAGTAATTGTCTTTTGACGTTTTATGTTTATGATAATATGCACTTTCAATCGACAAAACTTTTAGCTCTTTATTTAGATAGCACGATGTGCTGATCGTAATAATGAAAGATAATAAACGAGATCAACGTATGCAAGACAACCGTACACTCGGAGTGTAAGTCAGAGACGAAATCCTGAATAAAACAAGACCAATTTCATTACAAAATTATGAATATTGTTAAAGTTATAACTATTTTCCCAAAAGAAGTCATTTCCACATTTTTCTCTTCAAAAATGCCAAATCACTTTCGCACTGTGTTATTATATTAATAACACACTGTGTTAATTTAGGTTTGAAATTCACCTTGTAACTGTCCCTTTAGTAACGCTCTTTTTTACGGTATTGGTACAATTTATTGCAGAATTACGATTACAGCCAAAGACGACAACCACCGTAGCTCCTCATTTTTATACAACAACAAAGCCACGTCGAAAACAGCTACCAGGATACAACAAAGGATTGAATGAAGTGGTGCGTGCTAAAGAAACTCATTTCTCAAATCAAATGAACCAAGAGAACAACCTCTTCGCCGGTGGAATTAGTGTGTCACAGAATTCCAACCGTTTAATTTCTGATGGCAATGTTGAAAATGGACAAATCGACTCTAAGATAAACGAAGCCGAAGGTAAGTTATACTTTTAAAAGGTTTGAAAGTGTTTATAGAAATAATAGAATAAGGCAGGGATGTACACCTTCTTGATCAGCATCATCAGCCTAGTCTGTCTGTCTGCCTGTAGCAATCTCAGACACCCCGTCTACAAAAAAGAATTTTCATTCGCATTATATAACACTCCGGAAATTATATAGATATAAGTATTCCCGGAAAGTTCAGCTATATTTTTTGGCTGATTTTTGGAATAGTATTGAAGATTTTTGGAGAAGAAGTGTTGGTTTAACAGATTTCAGGTTTCAGAGATTTCATGGTTTCAGAGATTTCCAGACCGACCAAACCCGTTTATCCGAGTAAAGGAAGCCAGGCCTGACGCAAAGAATTGGGCCTGGCGATCTTCTTCTTATCGCTTATTCCGGATTTGATCGACCTCAGGCCAGGCAAGCCGGCATTTTCGTTTGGAGAATACGATTTTTCCATGTGGTTTTTTTTCTGGGGACCATAAACTGCTCATGCGTGGCACGCCATTAGCCAAAGATAAAAAAAAAATCTAAAGATAAAATAAAAAGGACAGCACTCCTGAACGAGGACATCCCTTCGGAAAAAAATACTACTTATCCATATTTATCCAATCATATCTCCGATTATAAGTATAAGAAGAAATCGGATCGAATCCCGGATTTTGTTTTGTTTTTATAGATTTATATTTATTTTATTGTGTATTTGTTTGTTGATTTTTTTGTTTGTATTGCTTGTATGTAATTTCAAGGTCATATTTATTTTTTTAATTATTTATACCAAATTGTGAGTTTCGGTAGCGGCCGTGAAAGCTAAAAGATAGCCCGAAATTTCCCTTTATTTTATGGTTGTCCCAAGTCCCGAAGAGAGCTCTCCTAGGTAGGGAAAATTGAAACCAAATTCCCAACGATTTTTAAAAAAGAAGAAAGGAAACGCCTGAAAGCGAAGCAAAAGCTCCGGAACATAGTAAAAAATAAAATGCATAGTGAGTAGAAGTATACGGCTGGAAAGGTAGAGGGGGATCGATTGTATAAATTAGGGGAGGACGCGAGAAGAGGCCAGCTAAGGATGGGAGGGAAGGCCACAAGGCTCTAAGTCAGCCGGAGCACTGGATCAATAGGGTAAGGATAAGTGTTACATATGTGTCAGTAATAGAAATCTAGAATTTGAATGTTGCGAGAGTTTCAATATTGAATAATGTCCGAGAGATCTTTGTGTTTTTTAGGATAGGATCCACGGCCCTGAATGAGCTAGCCAGAGCCGGACCCATGCCGATAGGCGGACCGTAGGACCTGAAGTTGGTCATAACAATATGGCGCCCATGTTTAAATCAACGCTATAGTCTCCACAAGAGGAACATCTACTTTTATAGTCCAGAGAACTATATAGGTGACCGCTCGAGAGGAACCCAAATAGCATGTCTCGGGACTACAAAGGTAGATGGAAGAAAGAGAATTTAAGTATTCAATTTTATTTATGACAGGGAAGATCGTGGTTAATTATTAATTCCAAATGCGACGCCAGAATTGCGCACTATTTGCGCACTAGGAATCAACAATTTAACTGTGATTATTACTGTGATAAATAGATAGAATTTATCTTGGGGACAAAATATTAAAGTATTAGTAAAGGGGGGAATCCGACCGCTGTGTTTAGAACAATAAAGAAATAAGAACACATTGCGTTGGAAGGAATGAGAAACAAGTCACGATCAAAAAAACAAAATAAGAAAAGAAAAAAAGAAAGAAAAAGAAGATACAGAGACCGGTCGGCTCAGCGCACAACAAAGATGGGCAATCCCGAGAAACTTTAGCCTGACCAAGCATCCACTCCATATGGGACCTATTCCCATGTTCAATTAGATCCCATACAGGAGCAGTACAGCATGGAAACGCAGAGGCGTCGGGAGATACAAGCCCCCATACATACGTCTCAAGAGCAGCTAGGGGTAGCTCGACGCGTGCATGAGAACAGGAAGCTATAGCAGAGCAGGGAAATGATACCTTCCTCTAGATCAGTGGTGGGCAAACTCTCATATTACATAGCACGCGAGTATAGGGTAGGAAATTCTGCCGCAGCGCTGCCGGCACACTGACAGTGTGAGCACTCTCAAATTTTTTTAAGAAGCTCTTTCAATTGCTCTCATTTTGACTTATTTGACAGCCCAAACTTAAAAATCAAAATGTTTCCACTGAGAAAAATTTTCTCAGAAATTGGGTTGGAAAAAGTTTTCTTCATGGAGAATATAGATAGGGAAGCGTAGTTTTTCATTTGTTTAGGAAATGTTGCTAGCAAAAATTTTTTTTTATTTAAAATACTTAATTTTAGTGCCCATTCCAACTTTTGAATTAACGAAAAATTAAATTTTTTCGCTCAGTGAATTCTCTGCTCTCATGGTTTTTTCTGCTACGCACACACTCAAATTTTAAACATGTGTTAGATTTCCCCCCACTGCTCTAGATCCTCCGACTCCTCAATGACGACGCAGGGAGACAGACTGGAGAGAAATAAAAGAAGCCCTGCAACGTAGATATTGTGACAATGGAAGCGATAACGATTAAATACAGGATATCGCGGAATGAAAACAACGGCAGGGATAGTCGCAGGATGAATATTTCATGGCCCTCAGTAGGCGGGTGGCATCTGTAGGACAACTGGATCATCAAGACGGCAAAACGGAATCTCCTTGAGCCGATGAGGCAGTGGGTGTATCCGATCCGGGTGTACACACTGGAACACCTGCACGACGAATGTAAGGTCCTAATTCCGGAGCAAGGAGCAGGGTATAGGCAATATATGCGCACTGGATACAAGCCCCGGGATGATCCACGTGTAGGAAGACTGGAGGAGGTGCATTCTTATTGGACAACGATTCAGCCGAAGGAGGCGCAAGGGAAAGGTCGGAGGAAACGGTCCAGCAATAACCAACGGCGCACCCCGGAAAGTGACTTGAGCTGGAACTGTCAGCAAGAGGGACACGTTTACATGGAGCAGCGACGGATCTTCTGCTACAAGTGCGGGTTGGCCAACACCGTAACGCCAAAATGTCCGAACTGCAGGCAGGGAAACGCCAACAGGAACGTTGGGGTAGTGGGCAACCAACTCTCAGCGAAGGAGCCCGAGGTCCAGAGGAGGCAGTGAGCCGGGTTAATATAGCTAAAAGAGAATCCGTACCTGACAATTAAGATGGAGAAAGCGAAACAGAAGGTTATACAGTGCTTGGAGGAGAGTGTGCGACGATACAAAGAGGCGAGAGAGAGAATCTTCCGGCAGAACCAACTGGCTGGGATGACGATGGTCACGAGAAGGGTCAAAAAGATCCGAGAGCGGTTTAGAAGAAGAAAAAAGGAACGCCAGGGAGTAAGCAGCTCGGTAATGACAATGACGCGAGGGGCAACCAGAATTGACCCCCGACCCTACGCTATGGTCAAGGTGGCAGGAATGGAGATGAAAGGTCTGTTGGATTCTGGAGCTTTGGTCAGTTTGGACGGAAGAGGCTGCAGAGAATGGGTGGAGCGTCTGGAATTTCCATGGAAGCCGTGGCATGCAAAGGTCCGGACAGCGAACGGAGCACCGCAGCAAATCTTGGGCAAGGTAGTGGTTAAGGTGGAGTATAAAAATAAAAGAAGGGAAATCCTGTTCTACCTATGTCCATCTTTGGAGCAAGAATCATACCTGGAAGTGAATTTCTGGCAGGAGTTTGAGATCGCCACAGAATTGTTTGGAGTAGACGAAGTGGAAATTGCCCAGGAGGAAACGAGCAGGACAGCGGCGAGCAAGATAACAATGAACAGCATGAATTGAGTGACGTGGAGAGGAAGCACCTGGAGAGAGTCCAAAAATCCTTTCTGAATTTCGAGGGAAGTGGATTAGGAAGGACCGCGGTCATGAAGCACACCATCGAGCTGATGGAAGGGGCAACGCCTATCAAGGATCGATACTATCCCGTATCTCCAGCAGTTTAGACGCTGATATATTAGGAATTCGATGAGATGCTACGACTCGGAGTTATAGAAGAGAGTGAGTCCGGAAGCCAGGAAAGAATCGCCTCTGCCTAGATGCCCGAAAGCTGAATAAAATTACAATAAAGAACGCATATTCGCAGCAAAACATTGAGAGGATCTTAAGTCGTATTGTGACAACAAGTAACATCTCAAGTAAAGCACGCGTTTCTGGCGAGTTGGATGACGCCAGCAAAAGATATACGGCTCTCACGGTACCAGGAAGTCCGTTGTATCATTTCGTGGTTATGCCATTCGGTTTAACGAATGCAGCCCAGAGGCTGTGTCGGCTCATGGATAAAGATATACTGCAGGGGCTCAGTGAAAGCGTCTTTGTGTACCTGGACGACCTGTTGGTGGTATCGGAAAACTTTAAGGACCACATGAGGATGCTGGAGGAGGTATCCAGAAGCCTGAAGCCAGCAGGACTGACAATTGGCCTGAAGAAGTCACACTTTTGCTTCAAGGAGCTGCACTATTTGGGCTATGTGATTGGCGGAGGAGTGGTGAGGACCGATCCATAGAAAGTGGAAGCGATCAACTGGGTGACGGTGCCCAAGAAAGCCAAGAAGGTTCGGCGATTTCTTGGGATGGCAGGGTGGTACCGAAGATTCATACGGAACTTCGCAGAGCTGGCGGTACCACTGACGGATACTCTGAGAAAGGGAAAATTTGTTATGACGGAGAAGGCAGAAAGGTCGGTAAAGATGCGGAAAGGACTACAGCGCCAGTCTTAAGGCATCCTTATTTTTAAAGTATGTTTTATGTATAGTGCGATGCTTTGGATACAGGGGTAGGAGCAATGCTCTTTCAGAAAGCGGAAGAAGGGCGAGCTCTCATATCCTTCTTTTCCCAGAAGCTAAGCCCAGCGCAGCGCAACTACAGCGTATCGCAGAATGAGTGTTTGGCAGCTGTATTAGCAGTTGAACGTTTACGGCCGTATATCGAACTAATGCAGTGGTGGGCAAACTCTCATTTTACATAGCACGCGAGTAT